TGTTGCTCTTGTTTTTCTTGAACTATTTCCTGTAGTTGGGTGATTGCGACTGTTGGAAATAAAATCCATCTATCTATTTATCTAGCAAAGGCATCTTTACAATCTCATTGCTAATTGTGAATATGATCATGAATCTCTATGCACTCTATGCACTTGGCCTTTTGGCGATGGAAGTTTCGGGGCAATAGCTACAGTTCCGATAGTTTGGATAAAATAAAATATCTTCAAAACGTCTAGTTGGAGTAATATTCACAAAAAGCAGTAGAGGTAATTGGCACAGTTACGTTAGTTTTTGGATAAAATAAAAATCGAAATAAGACAGTAAAAAGAGCCATCTATTACCAGAATCACCACTGGAAGAGCGTATAGCAGCTATTGATTGGAATTGTAAAGATCTCAGTCCGCGTTTGATAGCCCAGTCACCACTTTGGCCGCTAGAGGCTGTCGGTATAGTAGGTGTGGTATACTTGCTTCACAACATGCCATGAAAGGGCTACAATTGACCTTTAATTAACTTCTAGATGTACTTTTAGCCCCTATGATATTTATACCATCCAAAAGGATTTTTTTGGCTCATTTCTGTAATAACAAATGAGGGATCCTATTTGACAAAATCAACTTGCCGTTGTCAACGACAAATCCAGGGTGAAGATTTTCTGAAACCATTGTTTTTTGTCTAGCATCCTTAGGTTCCGAGATATTTGAGTGTGTCCATATTTTTGGAGTACCCTGTATAACGTCTAGTTGAAGTAATCCCAAAAAGCAGTAGTGTCTTTGAAATGCAGATAATTATTACATCATTACACGTGGCGACGACTAGTTTTGCATTACTTTTCCGAGAAAAATAAATATTCATCATTATGAATCTTAATATGCAAGAGTATGACAAACAGCCATATAATCAAACAATATATTAATTGGCATACAATTTATTTATAGAGAGTGGAAAGTATGTTGTTATAAAAATTAATATTACGGGAAAAGAGGACGATGCCGATTAAACACGGTACTTGAAATTTGTACACCATCACAACACAATTACCATAGATGTTTGACATTGGAAATAGGAGATTACACATAGATAGTACACAGTGTTTATTCAGAATTATGAAAACATACAATGATTGTGAGGTTGCTTGAAAGGTTCGCTGAAACGAAAAAAAAGTAACCTAGGCCACTAATCCAAGACGTTCATTCGCAGTGATAAGGATCCTCTGCACGGGGATTTCAATACCTGTGGGAGATACAGCTTAGGTTCAAATAGTGAAAAGTTGCATTAGGCGTATCTACACGCCGTTGAGAAACTTGTAGGAAATTTAACGGCTCACTGAGATATTTGAGAAAAGCTAAAATTTGGGCAAATCATTTTCATTTTTTCTGACTTTATTTCAAGAAATATCAAAAAACTAATGAAACCTTGCCATTGGCACTTTTTAGTCACTGCATGATGGTGTTTTTAAATTTTTTGCTGGTTCGTTTTTGAGAAACCATCATCAACTTTATTTTTTTATATGATCCGAGAAACAGTACCTGTATCCAATAGTATTTTTATACGAATTCAACGATGTATCATGTTGCATTTATTTTCTTGTTTATAAGGAAATATGCGTCTGGAAAATTTACATTTGGCACACGTTTAATAGCTGTTGGTTTCAAGAAGACGATGCTCCTGCACATAACTCTAGGCAAGTTCGCGAGTATCTTTTTCAGCGATTTCCCTCAAGGTGGTTTGGAACCTCCAGTGAAGTGTCCTGGCCAGCGCGTTTCCCAGATTTAACTGCTCTGGACTTTTTCGTTTGGGGTTTTATTAAAAACAGCATACTTTTTAAACGGAGCAGCAGAGTGAGTATGATTATACCAGAAATGTTACGTGATATTTGATTGCTGCTGTTAGAAGGTCATATTTATGTTTAGAAAATAATGGCAACCTATTTGAACAGCTACTGTGAATAAAATAAAAATAATGTAAAAAATGTATTCGTTATTCTGAATATCACAAGTTCAAGCATCATTTTATAAAATTATACCCCATCATATCATTATGTAATATGTAATATGCATCTACCAGTAATCACATAATCTTACATTGAGCATTTGTTTGCGACGCCGACTGAAATAAAATAAAAAAATAAAAACACATTTTTATTTATAACTAAGAAAACATAGAAATAAATAAAGCTGATGATGGTTTCTCAAAAACGGAACGTCGGGCACAAAATTTAAAAACACCATCATTTAGTACCTGAAAAGTGTCAATTAAAAAGTTCCATACGCTTTTTGATATTTTCCAAATTAAGCCAGAAGAAATAAAAACGATTTGGCATAATTTTGTTTTTTCACAACGGCATGTAAACACGCCCCAAAGAACGCAGCTTTTTCCTAATTTAATCTAAGCTGTACCTCCCACAGGTATTGCCATTCCCATGCATAGGATCCTTATCTTGGATATCCTGTATAGTTTTACATACTCAATCATCTGAACATCATTTTTATATTTTATTGAAAACTGGCCACTTTTTTGAAACTTTGTTTTTCCGAAAACCTTATAATAATTCTCAACAAAACGTAATGGTACTGTTAGCATTTAATTTGAACTGAGAAAATGCTTTAAGTACCAAAATCTGTATATTTTAATGTTCCCAATATAAGCACAATAAAACGGATAGAACATCTCAAAGCTAAACTTACTCCTAATATGTTGTGCATTCTTAGACTTGCACAAACAAGCATAATTTTTTTGTATTCAATCCCAAAATAATAAGACTACAGAATAGAAGGCATGCTATCTCTTCCCTTACATCTCATCATGTTGTTTTCCCATCTAATTAATTTGAACGAAGCAGTAACAATACTTGTTAGCGCCAATGATTTTACCAACATTACTTACAGTGACCATGAATTAACAACAAATTCTTCAAAATATCGGTTAAAATCTGTGGAATTTGAAACAAGCAAAGCAATCATGTTCCGGTCATCAACCACGACCGTTCATTCCACCTAGAGATAACCAACCTATTTTCGGCGTCCAAAAAATTATCAGAGACGAAATTAGATACAATGACGCCATCTATAAGAATTGGTCGCATCTAAGCACTTAAGCGACTTATAGTTAGGGGTGCTGTGTTAAGTGTATTTAGAGATTATTTAATGCATAGGATTCAGTATGTCAGGATTGCGGACGTTCTGAGTGAACCAAAGCATGGAGCATGGAGTTCCACAGGGTACAGTACTTGTACCGATTCTTTTTAATATACATATATGTAAATTACCTCTGCAGTCTTGCAGTTGATGGCGATGTAATTGCTTACACAGATGACACTGTGGTGGTGTTTCATGCGGGGACATGGGAATTGGTTAAAAAATTGAAGACTGATTTTGCAAAAATAAAAACCTTCTAGACACATTTAAATTAACTTTGAATATAAAAAAAAACTCATTACATTGCCTTCTATATAACCATGGCTAATAGACCAGCATTTAATCAAATTAAGCTTAATAATATAGATGAGCCTTTGAAAGAAGTAAATGAAATTGAATATTTGGGGGTTGTTGTCAATAAGCACTTGAAGTGGGACCGGCATGAGCTGTATTTGAGCAAAAAAATTAGATTTTTCATCCATAAATTTCACACTCTTCGTAACATACATTAACTAATATTGATGATTTACAAAGCCCTTGTGGTGCCCCTTTTGATATATGGCATAACCGTGTGGGGTGGGATATACGGTTCAAATCTTGGGCAGTTAAAAGTGGTGTAGAACCATATTGTAAGGATTATTCTAAATAAGCCTAGACTATATGCCTCTATGTAGCTTTATTCTCAAGAAATAAACAATATTAAAATCTTATATATTCTTGCAGTATGTAGTTTTGTACATGCAAATAAGATATTAAATACAAATTATCTGTCCCACAATTATATGACCCGAACAAACACCACTCATAACCTGAACGTCCGGCAGTCCAGGCGAGATTTAAATTTGCGTTTCGTGACATATCTTGCATCTAAATTTCACAATTTGATTCCTACTAATATAAGGAATATTGAACATAATAAAGAATGTAATGTTTCGTTTAAAATGTTCTGTTGGGAAAATCGTGAACAATTTATGCGTTTATTGTAAGTTGCTTTCAGGTAGAATGATCTGCATATTTGTTTTTTTTTCTTTTTTTTATATAATTGTGATACGTTTTTTTCTGTGATCTTAAGTCAAATCTATTACTTACAAAAAACATAGGATTTTCTTTCATTTTGTCTATACTGTGTTTCATGTTTTGTTGGGATTGTTGAATAATCTTATACAAGAATACATATTGTACGATATTAGTTAATTACTGTATTGGATTGTTTTTGCGCATACAAGTTTTTAAACTTAGGCGCTCATATAGAGAAACCTTGCTTTTGTTTTTGTTGATATACAGATATATATTATTTCTTCTATTTGTAAAATTGGGTTTGCCGAATAAACGTGGTAGAGTTCAGGGCGTACTGTTCTCTTCAACAACAAATTGTGCAGGAATGCAACTTCGTTGAGACAGACCATCCTCTTTATAATCCGGACTTGGCTCCATCTCTTTAGATCACTAAAAAAAATCTTCCATACGCCGTTTTGACTCAGATGGTGGTCAAAAAACGGTGGAGTCAAGAGGAAACATTTTTTAAAAGGGTATAAGTTCACTGGAGGAGAAATGGCACAAGAGCATTAATATACTGGGGGAGATCATATTGAAAAATTATTAAAAAATCGTACGCCTTTTTTTTCATGTCTAGCTGGATTTTTTTTCTAATATCACTCGTATATGCTCATATAGTAGCCTACAGCGCCATCTATGAGACCTTTTCAAATCAAATTTCTAATTATTGCGAACAGGTCTGGGACAAATTCTCATAAATGACGCCGTCCTATCTCACTTCATAATGGATGATTTTTTGGACGCCGGAACACAGCATTAGGTTGGATATCTTCAGGGAGAATACGTTAATATATGCCACGACTCACCAAACTGTAACAGTTGTCCATAGACAACATAACAACATCAACTGGCGTAGTATGATTGGCCACGCATACTGACCCACTTTTGGGGCGCCATTGTTTGTTGTGTATACTCACAATACTTGATAGTGAGCGGACTAATATACGATTGCTGATGACGTACATTTTTCGGTTTATCCAACGTTTGAAGCAACCGTTTGGTAAGTATCCTATGAGAGCCGTTGAGGCCACCAAAGTCGCTATCTGTAGAAATTTTCAACATGCTTAACCTGCATGTATGTATGTACGTATATATGTATGTATGTATGTACGTACGTATGTATGTATGTATAGTATGTATGTATGTATGCATGTATTTGAATTTTGTAATTTAGAGACAAGTTCGGATTTAAAAATTTGGAAAATTTGAAAAAAAGTTGTGAATTTTGAGAGAAATTTGGAAATTTAAAAAAATGGAAGTAAATCATATTTATTGTTAAATATAAAATACAACAAAAATCGAAGCTCTTGATTATAAGTTCTTTTGTAGTCGTTTTGAAACTAAAATTTATTTTCTACTTTTTTTTAAGCAATAATTTCATCCAACATTTTCTTAAAAGCAAAAAAGTCTATAAACTGTTCTGAATAAAAAGAAAATAAAGATCACAAATATTTCCTGGCACATCTTTCAATTCAACCATTGCTGGAGCAAATATTTGAGTAACTACTCTAATATTTGGCAGGATCTGTTTACCCTTGATACCAACAAAAAACTGGTTTCAATACTCATTACAACAAGATGCAATTATATGTATTAAAAACATTGAGATAAAATAATACTTGTGAAAATATCGTTTATAAATGTAACGCAACAGCCGAGTGATAATTCAATATCAAGTACTGTAGTTAATTATCGCGTAAACAAAGAAAATGTATAATTGAGATGCACAACTGATTTAACAGCTGCATCCAAAAAAATATAAGGGAACGGGAAACAATTATGTACAAAACACGAAGAGAATAAAACATAAGTGTAGTAAACAAATGTCTATTACCTAAAATTCTATTCCTATTATTGGAATTATTCGATTGACCTTGTTGCTTGTTTAAAGACACGAAATGATAATATTTTAATTTGAGCATCTGCAATTACCCTTGATAATCAAAAGTAATGTTGACCCTGATAGTCAATGGTGATTTCCTTGTGAACATAGCATACTTACGAAATTTGTAATAAGAATTTTCAGTCTTATGCAACATGTGATATATAATCTAGAAATATCAGTGGAAGGCTAAAATTTTGTGTATAACATAGTATTGAGATTACAAGACATTCCAGGTCAAAATACATTTTGTTAGAAGTTTATTAAGTTGTTACTCAACTGATCCCAATTTGGCTGCAGTATATGTGAACATTCTACTTGGTTCTATTACCACATAAATTAGGACTATCAAAGGTTATAAATATACATTTTTCCAATATATAAATATAAATGTGAATGACTGTCCAATCTGTCAGCGTCATGTCCGAACCACAATACAGAGATACGTAAAAATGTGTCCAAGGGAGGTTGTAGGCATTGTAGAATGCTCATAAATATGGATAGATCAATATAACTCAAAAAATACATTTCCTAGAAGAAAATGTTGTAGAACAAAGTTGTAAGGTTCCAAAAGTTAAAAATAATACTGATTTTGAACGTGAACTTGGCTATGACCAAGGTCATTTGAAGGTCAATATAGTTTTCTAGTGTGAAGTGAAACTACTTCTGATACTGGAAATGTAGAGTGGGGAATTTTATGTTGCCCATGAACTTGAACATGACCTTCGTGGGTATTTGAGGGCGTCCAGAAACTAGGTAAAGTGCAAAATATCTCGAAAAATACGTATCATAAAGAAAAATGTAATAAAGTTGTAGGGTTTGAAAAGGTGCATCTAATGATGATCTTGAACGTAATAATGATTATATAATAGTATAACTTTTGACAAAATAGTTATCCAGCAGGAAATCATTTTGAAACAAAGTTAAAACAGGCTTTTTATCTGTTCCAATTTTTGCACATAATGACGTGTCGCTGCCTTGGAATGGTCTTTCCAAAAAATCTAATACATATATGAACTTCCGACACTCCCTGCAGGATGAGTCAGTTGGGAGACATGATCAAAACTTGTGATAATAGTGACAATAATGCAAAAATTTGATATGTCACGTTCCAATCCCAAAAGAATTAGATAAAGAACGACTCGTTATTTTCAGGTTTCAGCCAGCACAGCAATGAGCATGAGAAAAAGGTTATTTTGAACAGTTATGGACATTGCTGAATGACATTATCAGAATTAGAAGTTATCTAATGTCCTTGAGCTTCGAACATAGCAAAACAGATGAACATTTGTAATTGCCCTATAATCTGATAGCAAATATCGGATAAAAATATTTAAGTTTTTTTTTATTAGTCATGAGCTTGTCACACTCTTGGACTTATTATGACGTGTACTATTTTATGATTTGTGTAAATAACATCCTTATAACGATCATCAAATATATTAATATAGCCAGCATTGTTTACTGCATCATTAAGTAAATTAATATAGCCAACATTGGTTACTGCTTACCAATTACAATTGCTGCACAAGCTAATTAAACAAATATTTTACGTCAATTTTGTACCTCGGACTGTACAGTACCATTATGATTTCAGGTCACACTTTTTTGTATTAGTAACGCCAATATCGTAAGTTGGTAGTAAACTGTAATCTCACAATAAATAATAAATCAACTTACCCCAAAACAGCAGATTATTACCCTTAGCGGAAACAAGAAAAAGTATCTCACAAAAAACCCACACAGCCATATCACAGTTAACTTCCATGATATAAACTCATATCCTCTGTTGGTGCGTATCAACAGATTCCAGTTCTTTAATTCTTCAGCTTCAAATCGTGAAGTTACCTGGTCCTCTATTATAGCTTCTATTCCTATTTTAATGTAATCAAGTACAGTTGACAATTCAAAGTGTGAGGTTTCCTGGAACAAATATGTAGATTCTCACTTCCCCTGTAAGACCAGATAAACAAAATATCTTGCAAAAACGTGAATTGAAGCACACCTCACAAGAACTTTTCCATCTGCTCAAAATTGGAGAGCTTCTGTATCATCCATTGTGTGTGTTGAAAATATTTGAGCATCATGAACTTTCATTAGATGTAAATGTACACTGTGAATTGAACATATTACTATTTTTAACTTGTTTAGATTACTATTATTCAGAGATGACCATTGCGCTAATTGGTATAAATAGTATCAATATCAATAAATAGGACTAACCAAAGTTTGGGAAACATATATGTTACCTGTCCTTGTTTAGCCTCATCAACAAATGATTTGCTCTTTTCTTCCTGTTTACTAGTAGGGGGTTCAGGAACTAGCACTAACTTATCATCTCTGCTGATGAGATTATTGGCACCATTGACCATACCATTTTTAATGCCATTGGGTGTTCCTGGGGTTTTGTCTTCACTAGACTTCCCAGATATGCTTGTGTCATTCACTTCATCTTCTAAATCATGCTTTCGTTTTGCTACTGACTCTATGTCTTTGCGCCCATACTAAAAATTAAATATACATTGGAAGCACATTTATCCAAAACATCATATTCATCATTTTATTGTTTGTTACATATCCTGGCTACAAACATTTTATCTATTTTGGCAGCCTTTACATTTGTATACAACAGCTGGCAACCTGGCAAGAGCATGTGAGGTTATATTAAATGCTGACAGAGATGGCCACACCTTACCTTGCCATGACTAGCTATACCCTATTTTATGAGTAGCCATCATGGTTTGAAGTCTACTGAGGTGAACAGATGCTCAGCAAGTGACATTTGGTGTTAGTCTGCAATGTTGGCAATAATGAATCAGGTGTAAATCTAGTAAAACTTGCTTGTAGCATTTTGTTTTTTGTATGCAAATGAACTTCTCTAAATAAAAGAGCTTTAAGCAAGGACAAAATGAACCTGTAGTGTACAAAAAATCATAACAAATTATGACTATGTCTACCTGACATTGATGGATCCCTCAGAATTATGTGTCCTTTGGGTATACAGGGATTTTTGAAATATTACTAGATAATCAGCTGTCATTCCACCATAATGGATACTTGAGAAATAGACTATAAGCATCTGGCAACCTAGTATACTAACACCTGTCAAATGTAAATATATCATATCATTCCTTCTGCCAGGTTGCATTGTAGTACAAAAAATTGATCTCAAACTCATATGGCCCTTATACTCACAATGATATTAAAAGTCCTCAGGATGACATATTTTTGAAAATACCATACACACATTTTTAATGATTCCTGACCTATCAAAAAACATTGCTTTCAATTAATAACCAGGATATGAAATAAAACAAACTTTGTATCACCCCCACAATTCAATACTCCTGTAACAGAAATTGCAGTAATGGCAGTATTTTAATTGAGATTAGAATATAATCTTGTTTAGTTTACAATCATTCATTTGGAAGAAGAGGGTTATATTTCAAAAAAATTTCATTTTCCATTTTATTGCATTATTAATTCAGAAAATGTGTTTACATTTATATGGAAAATGGTTACACCTACCATCTCTCTACAAACAGGCAGTTTTGATTATTTTAAATACATATAGGGTGTAAAAGTTGTAATTTGGAAACTAGATAATGCTAATGGCTTGTGAGAAATGATTTTATGACATGAAGTGAAAAGCAGAAAAAAGTTGTGATAATGTGAGCAAAAATCTAATTCAGGCAATGTCAACTTTTAATCTATCCAATTAGTCTGACTCTAGATAATGATAAAATCAATGCTTATATTCAAAAATTACATAATCAACAAGACCATATCAGGAAAATATATTGTATTCATTTATCTAAATGCTAACCTTGTGCCAACCTTTGCTCTTGCTAAAACCAGCACTAGTGGTTCATCTTATTGTCAAGGACTATGTATTTTTAATACAAGACCTATTTACAGAACAAAAATGCATAATTACAGAAATTCCTTACCCAAAAATTGCATGTTTTATAAGGTACCTGTTACTTACACTATTTTTATTGATTTGTATTGGCCAAAAAGTCTTCAAATGGTGATAATGTTCAAGAAGGGAAAATTCATCCTCGCATGATGAATAAAATTCACACATACACACATATATTAATCTTTTCTCAACTACTCAAGGTTATATCATTTGCAACTTAAAATTTATACATAGGTCTACAACAGGGCTGACCAACTTAATGTGGCCCAAGGGCCACTTCAAAAAAAAATGCAGTTTGGAGGGCCGCATTATAAAATCTTTTTATACAACATTATTACCGAGTTTTAATAGGTATATACTATACTATATTTGAGAGTAATTTTTACATGTGATGTATACATGACCCGTGAAGCGGGCCGCAAGAAAGGAGTTCGCGGGCCGCATGTTGGCCAGCCCTGGTCTACAATATTACATCGAGTGTATTACCCAATTAAGTTAAACTTGGAACATTATGCGTGGGCATGTATATAGTGAAATGCTTTGAATACAACCAAATTCTGACTCATAAGTTTACTGATTGATATTCTAGTAAGTGATTAAAAATTCTTACCTCAAAAATCATGAGCAGAAGCTTGACAAAGAGCCTCCTAACTCCAAGCGATTGTCCAATAGAAGCCAAAAAAATTATACAGACGAGAAGAGTTAAAAAGGGGGTGATGAGGATTGACCCCACGAGGGATACCATCGACAGTAACGACATTTCCACTATGTTTTTAAACTGAACTTTAGATAATCATCATGTTTGCGCTACTTATCATTCAAGTTCGCACTTAACAATAATCAAAGTACACGCACGGAAGCTACCATGAACCTTCATTCGTTAGAATCATGATTAATAAAAATCTTTCAAAATTTGATAACAATAAATAATGTGAAGGCAGTCGAGTTGTCGTTGTCGAGATGTCGAGTGTCGGAAAAATCTTCTGTCACGTCTGTCTGTGCTGTCACGATCACAACAGATTTTTTTTGCAAGTCCACGGTGTAGCACAGTGCACTACTGGGAACGGAACTGGTACTCAATTTTCGTGAAGAACGGGAATAGGAGCAGGCGGCTGTGACGTCATCCAAATGTCAAAAAATCACGTGGTACGGGTAACCGCTCAACGTCGGCGAGATACTAGGGAGTTTTCGCGTGCCACTGAACGTGCTGCGGTATTTTCTAGACACGTTATTTTGACAGATACGCATGCTCAGTTGTGGGTTTCATGATAGCGGGCACTAATTACGTTACCGCCTAGCGTAATTAGAGATCATTTAGCGCGAGGCGGCATATGATCGTTTCGTGGATACCCGGAACCAATCGGACGATGATTGTCATGATTTGAGGTTAGGTGCCGTTAATGGGTGATTTTTCTTAATTTAAAAAAAAATCGGTTGGCCTGTGGTTTTCATTTTTATTCATAAAGTTTGTATTATGTGTACTGCGAAAGAAGTCAAGCGAACGGGGAACTTGTCTGTTGAGAATGCCGTGCAAAATTCCTGTCTACAACTCCTCGTTGTTCAGTGCCCCTATAGCGGCCAAATCAAGAAGTTCTTGTACATCCATTTCGTCAAAGACACCTGTACAGCCAAAGTACGGTACAGCTTTGAGGTCTTAAATTTAAGGTTATGTCCACGTTATTTCTCATGCTGTTGCAAAAAGTATCCACAACCGATTAAAATAACGTATACATAATGTGCTTTACCGGATAGCGTTTGCGCCTACGTCGCTTCTCTAAGCGTAATGCGAAAACTCCCCATCAGCGGGTGGCAGGTCTAATGTCAGTGTCATTTAAAAATCAGACATCTCAATTGAAAATTTGTCTTCGCACTGTCGAAAATAGAGTTAAATTATTAAATCATAAATGGAGGAACAAGTCTATCTGATTTTAAATGACGAGGGAGAAGGTCATCGAAGATATAGGAACCGGACGTGTCATATCATACGATCAACATACGATCGGTCTGCTTAGAAGGCAGCTAAGTTTATCAAGGAGCTTAAAGCAAAGAATTTGCGCAACATGCGCCATCTAACCACTCCCGGTGTAACTTGAAACTGTCAAAACTTCGAGAGGAAGGGGAAATTCCATCTGTTCTCGCTCCGTTCACTACGGGATCTCGCGAAAAAATCTCTGTCGAAAACGACCACAGGGCAGCATCAGACAGACACAGAATCTTTGTTACAATTTAACCGGTCCCACACGATGTGGCGACTGCCTTACAAAGTTGGACACATGGCCATTCGTCACATCGTGTGGTAGAGCGCTGACGGATTACAAGTATTTTGATTTGAATACCTACCTGTTCATAATGTAAGTTCCGTAACTAACTTTTGAGGAGAATGAATTAAATTAGTAAACATACAAAGCATAGGCTGCCCTAACAACTCTGGAAGAAAGTACTATCAGCATTTTGACCCTACCTTACTGATGAAAATCGGTACAGTGGCGGCAGAGTTATCGTCGAAAAACAAACAAAAAACGGTCAAACAACCACATTTCTGAAGCTTCGTGAGTGGTATTCTTGAAGTCGTCTGAACTTACCGATTAACGACAATCATCGGTAAGTGCCACCAAAGACGTCATGCCCTAGCTTAGATGCGATGAGCTCCCAGAAAGTACTGCAATATGTACTGATAGGTTTAATTTTCCATATCCACAGCTTGGATTAGAATTGAATTAGCTTGGAGTTACTTCAGTACATAATATTGTAGCAGATTTATTATGCTATAAGTAAATATACGACTGAAAATAGACAAACTGCTGAGGTTTGTGGTTTCAACTTATGGTTTAAAAGGTGGGGCAAAACAAAAAGGTACCAAAACTGAAGCATAACTTAATGGGCTAAAAGAACAATGTACTGAAATGGCAGGATTTGAGAACTAGTTTCGTATGTGTAGTCGTTTCAGTTCATTTTAGAGCATTGTTCGTTGCAGATTTCAGCATAAATATCGCATATATACGCAGCGCATACTATTGAAAGGATAAGGTTATATTTCTCAACAAACGGTGGGAAATTCAAGCCCTAATAGATACATACGCTTAGTACACAATCAACATCGATTATCTACGACCGGGCGGTAAATTGGACTTTGTGGATAGGCTTTTTGGACGTTAAATCTCAGTTTTCGAATATTATATACTGATGTAACACTATTGATCGTTCAATTCTATCCAAGCTATCCATATATCGAATTAAATTTGTCAGTACATATTGCACTACTTTTCATGAGCTTATCGTATCTAGGCTGGGACATGACGTCTTTTATCTTATCGATAACCGTCGGTTGACCAAACACAGCGTGTTTCTTCTTACCTACAACTTTTCCGCAGAGTATGCAACATGTCATACTTCGTCGTGTTTGATCGATTTTTGCTTAATACCACTTTAATACTGTACGATTTGATACATTACATTACTTTTAGGATCATTTATAATTTGAGATCATCCGTTACATCAACTAATTCATTTAGTATTAAATAGCAGATATGTCCCTCTATTATCTGAGAAGACAATTAGTGAACCTACATAGGAGAGAAGTACAGCAAGTTTTAACCTGAAAAAGTAAACAAAAACAAGTAGACTATCGAGTTGAAAATCGTCGCTTGAGAGCAGAACTATACTATGTCCATTTTTTCGTATTTTCCACTTTTAACATTAAGGTATACATTAGAGGATGGTGAATTCAATGCAGAAACAGTTTATCTCTATAGTGGAGGGGAGACCAATAAAGTCCCAAATACAAACTAGTCTAACTTTTATTAGCAATTTGATTTCAGTGCAGAACTGTTCTATGATGCAGACAGTGTTCCAAAGTTGCGCTCGTCATTTACTCTGATGGACATAGATTAGTTCTGACCTGTCGGTTTGGAGTTAATATATAGAAATATTGAACATAGAATAGTTCTGATTTGTTTTCTTCGGACTTCGCATAGTATTTCAGTGGACATAGGTTTGTTCTGATTTGGCATTTATAAGTTAGTGTGTTGTTAGTGGAGATAGACTTGTTCGGACCTGTGAATTGCGAGTTAGAATTGTATCAAAAAGGACATAGATTAGTTCTGACTTGGAATATAGAAGTTAGTATCTAGTGCTAGTGGACATAGACTTGTTCTATTGTAGTTTCCTGATTGTCTGTAAAATGAATAACAAAAGATCTGCTAAAATCTTGGAAATGGTCTTGTGTAAAAAAGTGAATGAACATTTGGGTAAGTAAAACAAAATATAAAACCAATCAATTTCTTGTATGTATTTCAAATAATATGTTATTGGTTATTTCATCAACCGAGTGCAATGTATAAATTTGCAATTCCTAAAGAAAGGACAAAGTATCACTTTTCAAAGGAGAGAGCGTTTTGGCTACTTTGTCGCTCTCCTAGAAATAATCTCAAAAATTTTATAGACAATGGAAGTTCGTAATATATCTTTTGATAAACTTCTTAGTCACGCGTTCCCATCTCAACCTATTATTGGAATTATTCAGTGACATCTTTCTGTCAAATTTAAACGTCTCGAATATTTACATTAAAGATTAATTTGTTACGGTTATTTTACAGAGATACCGTTCGTAGAAAAAATCTTATGTGTATTTCGAATGCAAAGCAATGAGTGAATCTCGGCTCTCATTCAGAGCCGCATTATGCTACTTTGCGCTTTTAATACACAAATAGCTATAGCTATTCTATAAAATGCTCTTAAATATTTTACAATTACTATTTTGCTGTCATAAAAAAAGTTTTCTTATAATATAATGCCTCTACAATTTTTATGAGATTTCAATTTGTATTTTCAGGCGGAAAAGTTGATATTAATGTAAATCAATCGATCACCGATCCAAAGGAAATCAACATTAATCGCACAGATGAATCTACTCCTATGGTTGATTGTCATTTTACGATTGACTTAACCAATTTCGAACATCCAGATATGAATATGAATAAGATGTGTTTGACAAGTAAGTAGAATATTTTTGTTTGCGATATAATATTATAATTCTGATTTAAATTTTAGCACCTGCTACAGTAAGCAGTGATATGGATTGGCAAACCAAGCATGGAAAACAAAGCAAGAAAGATGAGTTAGCTATCGAGATAGACCCACGATACTTGAACTGTCCTGATTTGGAATATCCGCCTTATTTATTACCAGCAGAAACCTCCATTAGCAAAAACGATCATGTAGCGTTAGCGTCAGTCAATCAACTGAATGATTTTTTTCGGCCTAGTGTACCTGGTGTAGCTGAAGAAAAGTCAAAAAAACATGTACTTGAAGTTCCCATGACCTCAATCAGTCAATTAATTAAGCTTTCTGAACCTAGTACATCTTACACAGCCAATAAGATAGACAGACTTCCAACTTCACATCTACTTGATGATTTGGAAATAAGTTCTTCAGAATCCGATCCATTTGGTGGAGATGATGATGATAAAGACCCTGATTTCCAGTTATCAGACAATAATAAAAATAAATGCAGAAATCTTATTGGTAACAATAACTTGCCCATTAAGAATTCCAGTTCTGAAGGTTCAGATACAGAAGAAGAGCAAAAAAATAATTCAAGAAAACGCATACGAAGACCTGAAGGCTGGAGAAGAAATAAAATTAAAAAATTTAGAAATAGTGGAAGGTCTTATGTAAATTGGAAAGGTAATCTTGTGAGTGAACGAAAAATGAAAAATCCTTGTAATTGTCGATTAAGATGTTCACATAAAATCGACGAAGTAAACAGAATAAAGATTTTTAGTGATTACTGGGGTTTATCAGATCTTAACGGTCAAAGAGATTATATTTCAAAATTTATGATATGCCAGAATAAAGCGAGACATCGAAAAAGAAAAGTATCAGAGAGAGATGAGGAAGACAGTGAGAATGAGGAATCTAGCAGAAGAAATTTTACATATCTCTTTTATTTTGCTCTGAATGAAAAGAAAGTTCAAGTTTGTAAGACCTTCTTCCTTAATACGCTGAGCATCAGCGCACAAACGGTCAGAACTGTTTTCAATAAACTTGGTTCTACTGGGGTAGTTACTGAAGACAAAAGAGGAAAGGTTTGTAAAAATTCCATGCTGGACGAATCAGTGAAGCAATCCATTCGCGACCATATTCATTCTTTTGAGACGGTGAGAAGCCATTACTGCAGATTGAACACAAAACGCTTGTTTCTGCCCACAACTTTAAATATCTGTAAAATGTTTCATATGTATGGAGAGTACTGTGATGAAAATGGTATTCAAAGAAAAGCTACAGAAAGCATGTACAGAACGGTGTTCAATACTGAATTTAATCTATCATTCTTTCAACCGAAAAAGGATTTGTGTGATATGTGTCACAGGTATGAAAATGGTTCTACCGAAGAAAAAAGGGAAATGGAAGACGAGTATCAGCAACATTTAAGAAATAAGAAACTGGCAAGGGACATCAAAGCAGCCAACAAAGAAAAAGCAAAGCACAAAACTTTGCTCAGCAGTTTTTGATTTGCAGCAAGTATTATCGGTGCCAAAAAGTGACGTAAGTTTGGCGTATTATAAGCTTAAGCTATCTACATATAACTTCACCATTTTCAATTTAGCTTCGCAAAATGCCTTCTGCTATATGTGGCATGAATGCATTGCCAAAAGGGGCGCATCTGAAATTGGTAGCTGCCTTCTTCTTTTCATTGAGCACCAAGTTCAGAAAGGCGTTAATGAATTTGCGCTCTTTTCTGATAACTGCGCAGGTCAGAATAGGAATAAATATTTGTTTTCGCTCTACAATTATCTTTCTCAAAAACATAAAATAAAGATACGACACATATTTTTGGAAAAAGGACACACTCAGTCTGAAGGTGACTCGGTACATAGTGTTATCGAGAAGGCCGCTAGGAATGTCCCGATTTACACACCTGAACAATGGTACACCCTTGTCAGGACCTGCAAAAGAAAACAACCTTATACTGTAATTGAGTTGGAACAAGAAGATATCAAAGACTTAAAGACTCTACAAGAAAAGTCTTCAATAAACTCGGTCTGCAACGAACAAAACGAAAAAATTGTGTGGAACAAAATAAAAATAGTTGAAACCAGCTTTGAACATCCAAATATTATTTTGTATAAATACACATATGAAAAAGATGATCCATTTCAAAAAATAAATATTTTAAAAAAGGGAAGAAAAACACTTGACGTTGTTGTCTATGATTTACACCTCAAACGGCTCTATCCCAACCTGATCAAATTAACTAAAAAAAATATGACCACTTACAATTTCTTTGTAATAAAAAGGTTATACTGAATCCTTACCATGTATTTTTCAAAAATCTACCATTTGGTGAAAATCAAACATCTAAAGATTCTGACTATGAGTAGTATCTAATATGGTGTAATAATTGATGGGTTAGGTAGTTTTTGGTGGTTGTAAGATTCTGACTCAGTTTAGTTTTTTAGTCATGTTTTTTTGGGTTGTAGGTCAGGATTAGATCAAAATATAATCTTCCTTTTGGCTTCTCAAAAATTTATTTAACTTTGTTAATGTTTCGGTCATAATGTTCTTATGAAACATTGAAACATTTCGTTTCATAGTAACCGGACCTAAAATTCAAGAAAACTAATTATTGAATAAAAATAAATAAATAATATGTCAGTTTTTATGTAACAGGATTAGGTATAAGTTTGTTTATTTGAAATAAAATTTATTTTAAAGTACCCATTACTTATTTATTTCAATTAATCAGAACTATACTATGTCACAAAACAGAAAGTCAATTGCATTCTAACTTGCACATAGAATACTATGATTTGTAGGTAAATATACTATGTCCACTATTTTTGTAAATCACTTGGATTTTGAATTTCGATAAGAACTTTTTAATATATTAGCCTGCCCCAAAGGATATAAAACATATACTTACTTTAAATTCTGAACACAATCCCAAAAATACAGAAAAAACCTTCTCCTGTAAAATTTGCATTTTGTGACATAGTATACTTCTGCTCTCATGTGACGAAATATAATAGACATCCTATGATAATTATCAGATATTTAACATGTGACTTTTATTTAGTGCCGTTCGTCATATCTTGGCATTTTGTCTGTTTATTATTGTTATTAAGGCTGGTACATTGATAGATGTCTATATTTATAGATTTGCAAATTCTGGTAAGACGATTTCCAGTTCGCAGTAAATAATGGGTATGTTTGAGCATTTACCAGTGCCTATTGTCAGCAGTATTAATACCTGTTGAGGTAGCAATGGGCTAATTGATCTGTTTTTTAAGAAAATAAAAAGATACCCTGTCACAAAAGATTTGTTTAATTGTATATTGCATATATGCTTTCTTATATACTATACTTATAACCTTTAATTTTGGGATACAGACACCCTGGTACGAAATTCCTTATATGGTGCTTTTTCACACTTCAGCTACTGCCAACGGTTTCTATAGTTGCCAAAATTTTATTTAAAAGGTATGAAAAGGCACTAATTGTTATTTATGCATTTATAGCGTTAAGGTTTGAAAATTAAAAATAAGAAGAAAAATTGAACAGTCGTGTCAGTGGAACTTGCGGCACGCCCTAACAACGAATATGATGCCAACGTGGAGTCCGTGGGATGAAAATTGAGATTTAACGTCCTATCCACTAAGTCCAATTTACCGCCCGGTCGTAGTTAATCGATGATGATTGTGTACTAAGCATATGTATCTATTAGGGCATGAATTTCCCACCGTTTGTTGTGAAATATAACCTTATCCTTATCATTTCAAAAAATTTTTTTCCTAAATTTCAGGGAGTATCGCGCACCTTACACGACAGACTTCTTTCTTTGGAGCTGGGGTGTAAGACCGTTTGTAACTACTTTTTGATAACTGATTATAATAGCTCTTGTTGTGTACTTTAAACCCTGAAAAGCACATCGACGCACTTCTGCAGGTTTTTACGAAACAAAAATTTCCTAAATTGCAGTGAGTATCATGCACTGTACCCGACAGACTTCTTTCTTTGGAGCTGGGGTGTAAGACCGTTTGTAACAACATTAAGACAACTGATTATAATAGCTCTTGTTGTGTACTTTAAACGCTGAAAACCACATCGACGCACATCTGCAGGTTTTCACGAAAAAAAATTTCCTAAACTGCAGTGAGTATCGCGCACTGTACCCGACAGACTTCTTTCTTCGGAGCTGGGGTGTAAGACCGTTTGAAACAACTTTTTGATAACCAAATATAATAGCTCTTGTAGTATACTTTAAACCCTGAAAAGCACATCGACGCACTTCTGCAGGTTTTCACGAAAAAAAAAAATTTCCTAACTTGCAGTGAGTATCGCGCACCGTACTAGACAGACTTCCTTCTTTGGAGCTGGGGTGTAAGACCTTTGTAACTACTTTTTGATAACTGATTATAATAGCTCTTGTTGTGTACTTTGAACCCTGAAAAGCACATCGACGCACTTCTGCAGGTTTTCACGAAAAAAAAAAAAAATTCTAAATTGCAGTGAGTATCGCGCACCGTACCCGACAGACTTCTTTCTTTGGAGCTGGGGTGTAAGACCGTTTGTAACAACTTTTTGGTAACTGATTATAATAGCTCTTGTTGTGTACTTTAAACCCTGAAAAGCACATCGACGCACTTATGCAGGTTTTCACGAAAACAAAAAAGGGCCCGACAGACCTGTTCGTTATGAGTTGAGGTGTACGACTAGCTTTAGATACGAGCCTACAAACTCTGCAGAACCAGTTAATGCAATACCGCAATAGCATACGACTCGTAGGCACAGATAGAATAAATATAGTTATCGCGCTCACCTCGTATGCGCGACACGGCGTATCGCAGGCGGACAGCATTTATTCGGTCCGCTATAATCTAGTGGCGGGTAGGATTGTGGAGCCAGCTTTTGAAGCTACCTTCACACGCATATATATTCGTTATTTATGCCACTGAAATCTGCAACCACCGTTGCTCTAAAGTGAACTGAAACGACTACACATACGAAACTAGTTCTAAAATTCTGCCATTTCAGTACATTGTACTTTTAGCCCATTAAGTTATGCTCCAGTTTTGGTACCTTTTTGTTATGCCCCGCTTTTTAAACCAAATTTGAAACCACACAACCTCAGTAGTTTGTCTATTTCCAGGCGTATATTTAGTATTTACTTATAGCATAATAAATCTGCTACAATATTATGTACTGAAGTATTACTCTATTGATCGTCCAGGCTAATTTAATTCTAATCCAAGCTGTGGATATAGAAAATTAAACCTATCAGTACATATTGCAGTACTTTACGCGATCTCATCGCATCTAGGCTAGGGCATGACGTCTTTGGTTGCACTTACTGATGGTTGTCGTTAATCAGTAACTTCCGACGACTTCAAGAATACCACTCCTACCAGACTTAAGTTTTGGTCGCTGAAGACAGATCTGAAATTATTTTTCAGTGCTCGAAAAAATGGTTTCATCGTTCAATTTGTATTATTTTTTCTTCGGTTGTAAAGGTTCAAGCGCGACACTGACACCGATAATGGCACCACCATGCGTCGAACGTCCGAGACTGAAAAGTTCATCCCATCGTGTAGGAGACACACTTGCCAATTGTAGGGTGTCGAACGTTGTATACAACGTTGGAAGCATCGTATGGGACCCGCATTAAAAGATAAAAGATCATAAAGGATACAGCATATGTATAGCATAGCGTTACCATGCTATAGTGGATACCAAATAAAATCCGATGCACGTCATAGGTGATGTCATTCATAAAAATCATGGTTACCAACAGTTGACTACATTCAATGTGACATTTCTACTTGAAGTTTAAATTTCCCCGTCTCGATTCGGTTGGTAGTGCCGTGTAGAGAAATGTGAGGTTGCCACTTCTCATTTGTTGACATCAGTTGCCATTGTCCTTTTGTCGTAGACTGTCTACTATTAGTTCTTTATTGTTTAGTTTGCGAGTTTTGCGCTATTTGAGCTTTGAATCGTTGCCTTGCCAATTAAAAATTGTTCTTTTCAGAACAACAGTTACTGTGAAGTGGTGTAAAGTATCCAAAATGCCAAAACAACTTAACAATCGGTATAAAGAGCTCATATCATTGAATATCTACCGAAATCAGCTGTTTTTATTCAGAAAGGAATTTAATTTTACAACAAGTTTATTTATTTTTAATATAATGGTATTATAGTAAATGGTAGGTATATATAAACAATTTATTTTATTAAATTTATTTGCTTAAAAGAAAATGTGCAAATTCTGGCAACAGCGCACAGCTCCAGATCGATGACGTGCATCGGGTTTTATTTGGTATCCACTATAGCAACTGCGCTAGTAATACAGGGTGTAAACGTTATGACAGACATTATTTAAATGGGTGATAGAGGGGGTTAAAAGAAGCAAAACGTTTCATAAAACATGGGGGTCAAAACGGCATTTTTTTAGAGAAAAGCGACTTTAAAGTAAAATAAAATCTGACAACGCCGCAATGCCAGTCGCAAATTACGACCAAGGGTAGAAGGGTTTATCTCTGATTACGACGGAACACAGTGTAAATAAAGATAGAGTTTGTTATTTTTATACTCTATAATCAAATCCAAGCGAATATCCAAAATTTCTGTGTTATGTGCCGCGGTTATAATATGGTTCAAGATGACACACGGGTTGATGACGTCAGTTACACGAATCGCTTGAACGCGTTGATTTTAACGCGGTTTTGTAGCAAGTTGTTTATTTTAGAAAAGCGCGTATATAATCTCTGATTATTTTTATTATCACTTTATAATGGGTGATTTGTCGTCTACAACTGTATATGGAAAGTTTAAATAAGAAACTTTTCATAATATTAATGGGAGAAATGTTTTTTCAGATTTTTTTTTAAATGATGGAACCATGGCTTTGTAGCTATGATAACTTTCAATTCTCTAAATTTTTCCGCATGTCAAAGAAAACATTTATTGCAGAAATGATGAAAAAATAAATTAGCAAAACCGTATACAGGTGGATATCATCTAGTGAGTTTATATGGCCATATTTTAATATTCTTGTGGTATATGGCTACACAGGATACTTTGTTAAGCATAGGAACTACATTTAAGGTGTCCCCAACAACCGTAATGAGTATAACTAATAAGGTGCTCCACTTTATGGTAAAACTGAAGTCAGCCTGTATCATTTTTCTCAAAAATGAAGCTGAAGTACAATAACAATATCCAATACCCGGCAAAATTCTAACTTGTCACATTTCAAATAATAACCAGAAATATAAAACTACTCTTGAGTTGGGTAAATACCACAATTTTGCGATGATAACTATGACATATAACAGCTGATTCGTGACGTCACGGATCTTATAACCAAACTGATATAGTGGATATAGTGGATACCAAATAAAATCCGATGCACGTCATAGGTGATGTCATTCATAAAAATCATGGTTACCAACAGTTGACTACATTCAATGTGACATTTCTACTTGAAGTTTAAATTTCCCCGTCTCGATTCGGTTGGTAGTGCCGTGCAGAGAAATGTGAGGTTGCCACTTCTCATTTGTTGACATCAGTTGCCATTGTCCTTTTGTCCTACTATTAGTTCTTTATT